TGCAGCCATAGGCTGAATTACGGGATATTTACAAATACTGGTGATAACAAAGAGAAAATAAGAAAAATTATCTACATCTTGTAGACATGGCTAAAAATAAAACTTTTCTTCAAACGCTCGGTTTTACATAGGGGGAGAGTGAAATCACTTTTGCGTCTCAAAGCATATTTACAACTCTTCCTTTGGGGGAGGAGGCTATGGAGACTGTGGGTGGGGTTACAGACGATCTCGTCAAATAGATCGATTGAAATCTTTTCTCTCCTCTCATGAAGTTTCGGTAGGCCAACTGTTTCTAGTGCTACACTATATGACAGGTCAGGATAGATGATTCTGAAAGCCCTTCTTTGGATCCGTTCCAAATCTTCACTGATGTAGTTTGGTAGAGAACGATGGAATACAGGGCTTGCGTATTCCAGGACGGGCCTAATATATGTCACATAGAATTGCACCAGTTCACTTGGTGCCACTCCGGATCTCTTGAGTTGACGTAAAAAATAGAGACGAGAGGAACATTTTCTAATTAGTTCAGAGGAGTGCATGTTCCACTTTAAATCGTGGCTAATGGTCACGCCTAGCAATTTGGCACTGGTGACTAATTCAAGGGGTTTGCCATTTAGGACTAGGGGTTCAAAATCGTGGTTGCTGTTGGAGAAACCAATTCGAAGTTCTTTGCACTTGGCCTCATTCAGTTGGAACCCATCGAGACCCGCTTGTCTCGAAAGGTCATCCAGAGCTTCTTGGAGTTTGCTCTCACTACCCTTTGTAACTATTTCGGAACAAGATGTAAGGATATTTAATGATTATTCCTCGAGCCCGAATGCGCTCTGAGTCAATAGGCCTCATGGGCTATTGACTCAGAGGCCATGAGGGCGAGAGGAATAATTGCTCTAGTAAACATGGCGAGCCGCAAGCCTTAGCGACCGAAATATGGGGGAAAATTTGTCCCCCATCTGACCAGAAGGCCATTTAAATTCAGCCAAGCATAGACCGTTGACAGCTTGAAACCATACTTGAGCAGAAGTGCGAATCTCCTTTCGTGGCCTCCTGTGAAGCTTTATCCGACATATCTTTCAACCGCTCATTTTAGCAGACACTACTAAAAAGCTGATGAGACGAACACAACTAAAAAAAAGAACCTGATAGAATGAAAATCGCTCCAAAACAGTGCATCAGTTGGAAAACTTGTGGCGGTGTAGAGGAGTTTTGCACAAATTGTCAAATGGGGGATACCTCAGAATCAATATTTATTTATTTACCGAAGATGAGCGAAGTACAGCTATTTAAATTTAATAGAATTTACATTAACTATAAATTCAAATAGTTTTTACAGTAGCTTTCTCTGAGGAGCAGAATTTAAATAGGAGACTTCATCGGCCTTTTCTCAAAAAAGGCAATAGTCCCGCTTTAAATTCTGCTCCCCCGAAATTTCTATTTCTATTTCTAAGTAGCTTTCTTTTTCTTTTAAAAAATTTTTACGGGGAAATCAAAATGAATCTTGGTTGATTGGTTGCGTCCATCGCGGTTCCCCCAGCCTATTTGTTTCTTTAATAAAATACGATTGCACGAACGGTCTCTATTATTTTTCACGAGCCGTAACCAACCAAGTTCCCTTGCACTAAGCGAAGGCGACACACCCGATCGCTTCAGGCGACTCACCCAGAAGAGCACGTGCAGACGGAACTTTAGTCGTTGTTTAGCTTCGTTTTGAATCACCCAAAGAATAAGTTCAATTACGAATTCTAAGCGCCTAGCTGAAATACAATCTTAGCAGGTCCCAAACAAAAGAAAAATATATTTTGCAAACCGTTTTCCAAGACTATTTTACCTTATAAACTTTCCTAAGGCCTCGTTTTTTTTACAGAAAGATTCATTTAATATACACGTTTTACAAAGTCTTCTTGCACTAAGCGAAGGGGACTCACCCGATCGCTCGCTTTTAATCAGGCGACACACCCAACATAAAAGCACGTACAGAATACCCTGAACCATGTTCATTAATTTGTTTTCGGTGAATTATATCAAAGCTCTCGGCTCGTGAAAAATAATAGAGACCGTTCGCGCAGTCGTATTTTATTAAAAAGACAAATAGGGGTGAACCGCGATGGACACAACCAATCAACCAAAACTCATTTCGATTCCTCCGTAAAAATTTTTAAAAGAAAAAGAAAGCTACTTAGATTTAGGGACTTACAAATAACGAGCAAACTTAACACTCAACCCCCTCTCTGCGAAGTACATTAGGTAGGTCGGTAGGGGTATGGGTAACACGAGCGTCTGATATTTTAAACGCGTTTTATTTCATTTTTAATCAAAATAAAAAGGTTTTATGAGGTTTAAACATGGAATAGCCCTTATTTATGGCTTTGTAGCACAATTTGCTACTAGTGGGAGTCATTTTCGCCTATTCGATATTAGGAAAACGATTATTTTCATAGGCAGAGCTCCGTCCGGCTGTGTTGAGAACGCATGCAACAACGCAATATTACGCAATAATTCTGATAATTACTGGCTTTATTGTTGTGCAAAGAGTGTTTTAACTGTAAGATAATTTTCTCATTAATTGAAACAAAGATCTGAGAATGAAGTGACAACTATAAATCGCACTGGATCATGATGAAGCATTTAAACATCGGCAACAAGCAAAACAGTTGAAAAAAGATGAGAGATATAGCAATTTGGCCGCTACGTGTGTATGTGTATTATAAAACACGGACGTCTATAATTTTCAACACATTCCTTTGTTTATAAAAAAAATGTCGCACGAAATTAATAGAGCTTTTCGACTTCTTTATTAGGGTACTTTTTGTAACACAAAATTGCCTCCAGCGGAAGTTGTGCTGGGCCTGTTTCTTCCTAAACAAGAGCTGTACGATCGGGAGCGCCACATTAAATTTGGCGGCATTTAGGAGGTTTTGGCGCGGATATGCTCGAAGCAGAAATAAATAAATTAGAGGAAAAAAATCGAACACTGTGCTTACCTTTAAGGAGTCTTACCATTAATCAAGTCATTATACAAACCAGAATTAATGTGTCGCAAGGTAAACCTACTGATCTAAGGCTGAATTGGCCTCGCATTTGAACCAATGTAAAGAAGGAAGGCTGGCCATCTCCGGTTTTCAGAAGAGAAGCTTGAATTCTCCTAACCTGTCCGATCTGTTTAAATGTTCTTCCAAATACCAATCGCTTCTAAGGGAAACGACTTTTATCGCGAATCAACACAGAAATTCTCGACCAGGAAACGGCAAAAAGTAACTCACATATACTCCATACAATGATGGCTTGATCGGGCTGATCCGATCCCGGAGAATAGTTGAAAAGACCGCGCTCGACTTTATTTACATGTTTTTACCCCGCCTAGTATTGTTTTAACCATATTAACAGACAGTTGCGAAATTTAGAATTGTTTCATCGCCTCTGTGAAGATCACTACCGATGACAGCTAATCTGACCCCTGCTGAACATGCACGAGATCGGAGGTAAAATTATAACAGGAAATTGAGCATAGCAACCGCCACTCAAGATAATTAGTAAAGGGACTTTATGCGGCTCCTCATGTCCAACTAGTTGCTCAAAATATCGAGACAAAACAACTTTAGTAGCAAAACGCGATTCAGCCGCCATTGTTTTGGTTTTCAAAGCCGGCGCTTTTCGCTACAAGTGGGCTATAACATGTAGTAGTTCAACCAATCAGAGCGCAGCATTGATAATAGACCACTAGTTGGATTTTACTAAATACATCTAGCCGAGTTTTTGAAAACCAACCTAACGAAATTTGCAGTCATTTGAGTGAAAAGGAGTAGATAAGCTCCAAAAGGGAGGAAAGGAGAAAAAAGCAATGGTTGCACTCTTAGTTTTTATAATGGCTACTTTTGGCCGAAAAAAATGTTGGACGCAAAAAGGTCCATTTGGTGGTAACGTCTACAGAGACCCGGCTAGATATCTGTGTATGGCTTTGTACCCTTATGTAAAGGTTATGTACCCTTATGTAAAGCTTTGGTTGTATTTATTTAGCTTACGTGAAGCCACTATTTGATGGTTCCAGCTAGACGGGGAAGGAGAGTCTGCGCTCGCACGCTTGGTTACACCAGGTATCTACCAAAAAAAGGTAGAAAGTCGCCAAAAAAGTCGCTAAAATAGAAAAAGAATTGCGTTTTTCACATGGCAATTGTGAGCCACCGCAGATTCCTGCCCTATATAAACGCTATTTTGGCAAGTTTTGATTTTTTGGTTTCTCACCAGTTGTCTTACCTACTCCGATTTTCCTTTCTTGAAAACGTCAATTTAGTTCCAAACATCGAGCCATGCCCTCGTTTCTCGTTCTTTTGAAGCCATGGCTCAATGTTTGGAACTAAATTGTCCGTCACGTTTTCAAGGGAGAAAAATCTTTGGTCTATGCTCAAGCAAAAATTTGGAACGATTGAACTGGAATGAGGGTAATTTTTGGAGTTTTTACTTCGTTGGGCAGCGTAGGACAGCCGAGTTTTCCCTTGTCTTCTTCTTAGTAGGTGAGAAATCAACAACAAAACTCGCTAAAATGGCGTTTATAGGGCAGGAAAAAGTAAGAAAACAACACAAACACAACTTTTATGAGGTATGTACACATTATTCACAATCACTGTTTATGTTCATTTAACCGTTTTATCGATCTTACGATAAGTTTCCATACAAATCCTTATAATTTGGCTTCTAGTAGGCTCTTGTGAGTCTGGGCGCCAGGGTATTCTTACCAAATTAAAGATATTTGCGTGCAATATACGATTTGGTATCAATGTATCTTTGATGATGCTAATGCGATACCTGTGAAAAACGGATCAAAACACACCACTTCACTCTGATGTTGTTAACAGGATGTCATTATTGTCATTGATTGCTTGGTTTCATATTCTTTTCGTAGCAGGTTTATTAAAATTACGAGCGGCTTAGTTACCAAGCGGATAATTTATGCAACACAAGATAAATCAAAATGCTATGAAGCGCTGTTTTTAGTAGAGTCTTTGTTATCAACGTATCCACATGTTTAACGAGTAATTTTTCGTTAACTCTGTAGGTGAATCACCAAAATCCTCCTCTTTTTGACTACCACTAGCATGATACACGAAGGAGCCTTGGTTAGATTCCGTTACTCCAATCCCATGATCTGCACGAGCACAGTTATTTCCCCCTCCGCCAATCATTATCACAGCTCCATCCCCATTGCCCCAGTCACACCAAAAGCCAATCTTGGTAGCACTTTGGAGCTGTGAGCTGCAGCCAGCCTGTGAAAAACCTTTTGTTATAGTGAAATGACCATCGTATTGAACAGTGCAACTTTCTTGACAGCTATTGCTGGCCCAAACAGCGCCATTTCTGAAATTTCCGTAACTCGTTATTTTTGATCTAAAAGTCTGTCCCCCTAGACAGTTATTTATGGTCTGCAACAGAGCGGTGTGTTGAGGATCATCACTGCGCGTGATCTTGAACTCTATGGCGCCGACCAACCAGAAAGCTGAAGAAATCATGTCAGTGTTGCCAGATGGATCAGTTGTTTCTCCTGCAGCAACATTCTTGTCATACCACCATTCACCACTGTCTGCCATCCAATTTTTGGTGTCATTATTAGAGAACCGAGCAACGAGAGTCCATCCTTGATCATCTGATTCCATGTCGCAGTACGCCTGGTACAAAGGAAAATTGGTTTTCGTTTGTTATAAATACATATTGACAGGAGTTTAGGTAAGAGGATTGGTGAAACATCTCGAGATAACAAAGGTTTGTTTAACTAAACGTTCTGTATTTAAACTTTGTCGACGGAGAACGCTATACGCAAATGACTTGTCATTTGTTGCGCGCATCCAAGTATCTTGGAAGTTAAATGTAACTGGTGCCAAAAGTTCACTTGAATTTATACAGTGTTATAAGACCATACATTTTAGGGTTTTTTTCGGACTAATCTTCTGAATCTTGTTTCCCCATTATTAGAATAAACCTGTTCTAAATAACAGTCTCTAGCATCGAAAGATCCATTTAATTATACGTATTAGAATAATAGGAAAATAGAGAAATCCTGACTGTACCTGAAACTTTAAGGAATTTATTCCTCTCAGCCATTTCGTTCCGCTGGCTGTCTGGAAACCCTCGATCGTTCTTATATCCGAACAGGACAAGGCAGCTAATACAAAGTAACCATAGAAAAGAACTTAGAGTAGGGATTCTCTGCCGGAGCAAAGACGCTCAGAGCAAAGGAAAACATATATGTAAATAGCTCGTCATAGCTTCTGACTAGGTCACCAAGAATTTTCAGAATATAGCAAAAACGATCTGGGAATGATTTTCTTAAGATATGCTAGCCCCATATCTGACAAAATATAATCATCTTCTAGGGTCTTCTGGGTCCTTTCTGCAAGATACGGACAGAATGTTTTCTCTCGAGGCCAATTTCGACTCAAATGCATTATAGCGTAAAGGTAAGTAAAGTTAAAAGGTTGGGTGAAAGGTTGCGTAAAGACAGCAATTTTCAGCACTCTCAAGCCATGCCAGCCCTCTTCGTAACTTTCTTTTATCTTATAGGTGAAACGTTTTGACAATCAGCAATACAATACAAACTTAAATGACACTCCCTAAAGAGGGCTTTTCAGTGACAAGATAATGCGTCAAAACGATTAGTAAATCTAAAAACCACAATGACACAATGGTTTATATAAAACTAGAAATATGTAACTCGCAGGACCTCGAGTAGCACTTCGGGAGAACGGCAAGCAGTAGAAAGAAAGGAAAATATTAATGGCAATAGGGAAGAACATTTATAAATTTATAACAATTACGCTCAGAAACAAAACAAAACTGCAATAACTAGAAAAGAACAAAACTAAACTTTATATTCATTCACGAAAAATGACTGGCCATTACGGCTTCTTGAGAAGACCTGGTAGCAGTTGTTTTTGTGAGTAATAAATTTCAAGTATGTCTTCTTGTGAATTTGTCTTGTTAGTGCAAGAGAAATTTTCCTGCTTCAGTCGGATTGTTCGGCGATAACAAAAGTCCATAATTTTTCGCTATTGAGCTTACTTTATAATCAACTCATTTTGTAAAGGATAAACGAACTTTAAAAAAGGAAAACACTTTACACAAATTGGATATTTCCCGACACAGGAGAATATTATGGTCGTTGTCCAGCTAAATGTCAGTCTTTAAGGCAGACTTTTCAACGATTCAGGCCCCATTATTTGCGAAACATTTTCACCGCAGCACCAGCAAAGTTTTAAAAAGCGGTGAAAGTGTTTCACAAGAGCAGTTTATTTCTATATTTATGCCTATAATTCTACGTTTTAACAACTAAATTGATTTTTTCATACCCAGTCTTAAAATCGTTCGTAATATGCAAAAAAAACTCGCGGTAATTTATGCATCGAGCTTGGGCCGCCTGTGCTTATCACCTCTATGTATTCGTATCACGGTATCTATCAGTTACTGGCATTTTAATATGCGTAGGTTACTTGTATGTAGTCGTATATTACCCGTATATGTGTGCAAACAAATTTGTAAATCTTAGCTGTCCGATCCGCCTTGCCTTCAATTTTAAGTGTTACCTGTATGTTGTCCGTATGTTATTCCTAGGTACTCGTATGCTGCCATATATATCCGTCTGTTACTCGTATGTTGTCCGTATGTTACTTGTAGGTACTCGTATGTACCCATATGTTACCCATTTGTACCCGTGTGGTGTTTTAGTCAAGATCGTAAGGGTTATTTACCTGGAACGAGGGGGTATGTGATATATTCACAAATCCCCGAGGCCGAGGGACAGTTAAATAATATGCTTATTTTTCACTTATGAGGTTTCCTAATGCAGTAGGACGTTTGAAAAATCTTTCATTTATTCTTTAGAGATGCTTATTCTCAAGAGCCTCTAATTGTTTGAGGTTGAATTCTAAAATATGGAAATTGATCAATTCATGTGGAGTAGTCAAACAGTAGTTTTACCAGAAAGAGATGAGTGACTCAGAGGAAGAAGTATTCTTAACGCTAAGGTAGAGCAGTTTTGGAAACTCTTTTCGACCTCCACCGCGACAGATTTTTGTGTCAGTCGTCCAGCGAGTCACATTGCAAACCCAGACTTTGGAGATGTTAAGTCAAATGACAGGCAGCATAATATCTGTGCATAAATTACCGCGCACTGCTTTGCATATTACGATTGTATGAAAAAATAATATAGTTGTAAAAACGTAGAAATATAGGAATAAATATAGAAATAAATTTCACCATGTAAACTTGGGTTTGTTGGTACTTTTTCTGTGTAACCTGGGCTCAATGTATGACCATTTTATACGGTTTTGTAGCTCGTTGTTTGTTCGGTGTTGTTTTCCAACATAATGCGAAGCAAGGCAGGAGACTGTGTGCAGTCTCAACTCACAAATCTCTCCCGCATCAAAGAACCGCGCACCGATTCACCATGAAAGCGCCAAATCCTTAAGGCCCGGTGAGTCTCTTATCACTTCCCCTTGTCAGTGGGTATTGCGATGTGTGTTTTTTTGGTGGAAAAATATTTTGAAAGTTTTCGGTTCTGGGCAATCTGACGTGCCACCAGGAACGTCGATGACTACGCGTTGTGTGGTGAACGCGAACTTAGGCTGAGGGGATGCGGGTAATCATAAATGCATGAAAAAACATAGACCTTCCTACCCTCAGGTAGTCTACTGATTGCGCGTGAGCGGTGTTTGGAATTATCCAATGGACCTTTTTACCGATACGGCGGCCATATTGAATTAATTCGATTTAAGGAGTATTATAGGATGCACGAACGCATTTCGTTGGTATTTTCGAGCGCTTCTCGGGATATTTTTTCTTAAAGTTTTCTTAGAATAAGATTGTAATGGGAAAAAAGATCCTTGTGCCGTGTTTTGATGTATATAATGATCGCCCTTTTCCCGAGAAATATACAGTGAAAGACAAAATTTCTAATACTAAACTAGAAAAAGGCAATCATTATTACATCCAAACACGGCATCTTTTTTCCCATTACAATCTTATTCCCAGAAAACTTTAAGAAAAAATGTCCCGTAAAGCGCTCGAAAATACAAACGAAATGCGCTCATGCCCCCTGGGCATCCTATAATATTCCTTAATTCAATATGGCCGCCGTATCGGTAGAAAGGTCTAATAAAATGTTCGTAGTCATCGAACAAACAACGAGCTGCAAAACCGTATAAAATGGCCATGAATTGTGCCCAGGTTACATAGAAAAAGTAACAACAAACCCAAGTTTACGTAAGTGATATTAATTTCTATATTTATGCTTGTATTTCTACGTTTTAACAATAACATAGGCAAAACAGTATCGAAACACGCGGTAATTTATGCACCGAACCTGGGCCGCCAGTGGTAAAGTTTGTTTAGGTGATGTGAACTGCTAGTTTGAACAGAGTTAGTAGAGGAGACTGGTTTTGAAAGCCGACAAACATCAAAGTTGAAAACAGTGGTGCTGTAGTTTATGTTGAAAGCGCCCAGAACGTGCACAATCCTTTGCGTTTTTTGTTCACAAATTGTGACTGAATAAATTAATGCGATATTTCTATTGGTCAGTAAGTTCAAAATGATCGGAATGCTATTGAACATTGTGCACGGTCAGGTCCAAAAAAGCTTTAAAGCTATAACAAAGGGGTCTAACAAGTTTCCCAACCTTCCAGTTTGATAACTATGGTTTGAAGAACATTGCGCTACGACACCTGGCGACGAAGAAAATGAAGTTCAAGAAAATGTTTAAGTTCGTTAAATCGAAATTCAAAATTCTGACTTCTGTTGTTTTACTTGGACGGTTAAACATGTCGAGGGGAATATTAGCAGGGGAATACGACGAGGGGAATATGGGCAGAGGAAATATATATTGTATTGTTTTGTTAAAGTTATCAGCTATTGTTATATTCCTTGACTTTCACTCAACTAAACAGGGACTGCTATTGGCTGATTCTTGGTCGGTCACGTAGCCTTGACTAAAATCAAATGTAGGCCCAATCGTGATACATTAAGCAATTAATTTAACCCGCTTGGGCTACATTACAGCACGTGACCAAAGCATGGTGGAAAGCCTGTCGTGACAAAAGGCGGGAAAAACAATGTAAAAGGTCCTGCCAGTTTTCTTTTTCGAGAATGAACAAAACAACACAAACGCGAAGCTTCAAGCTAAAAAGCAACGATTTTTAAAGTTATCCAAGAAGTTCCAAGAAGAAAAACATACAAAAATGATGCAGATAATATAAGGAAGGTACTTTGTAAATCATACATTCAATGGTTTTGAGAATTAAATTTGTGTTGTTGTAAGTGCCGAGTCGACTGTTTTGGTTCGCTCCGGTTATTCTTTTGTTGATGTTGAAGTGAAAGTCTAGAAATATAACAAAACACTTATGTCAGGTCGCTCGGGAAACCAGTTAGTTTTGTTTTCCCTCGACTTCGTCTCGGGAAACATCGGGAAGGACTCTGGGGAAAACAAAACTAACTGTTTCCCTCGGGATCTGGCGTTAAGTGTAGTTTGTTTCACCCCGCACTCCCCTGTTACAATGAAAGCCGCCACCAACTTCTCAAACAATGAATAATAATGAGGGGTTATGTAATATATTCCCCTAAAAAGAAACCAGAAACCGAGCAAAGTGAAAAAAAAATAAAGAAAACC